CTGGGAGGTTCGTCTGTGTTTTGTCGCCGACTTCCCATTGCTTGTTTGCTAATTCCCTAAAGAATTGGACCAGATCTTTGATAGGAGCCTGCCTGAAGGGGCTCTAGGAGCTCAGGAATATGCATCGAGTATGCCCACAGGGCCGCCCCACTCCACCAGTCGTCACACAGGCCCATTCTGTTACGGTCTGGAAATATTAATCATCTTGAGTATTAATCATCTTGAGTATTAATCATCTTGAGTATTAGGCATTTGTTTCAACAACTTGAATGCAAAAATCATATAAATTATAGCAGGAAAATATCTTTTATGTGTTTCCCTGTTTTCCTTTTTGTTCTTTAATTTAATATTGACCTTATTTTTTTATTATTATTTTTTTTACATATGTTTGATCTGGAGCCTGAACTGGGCTCTGCTTAGTCTGGCTCAACGTCTCTAAGAGGAAATGTACAACAGGCACTTTCTTGGAAAAATAACACCAACCCATATAAGTACATGAAACAAATATTGCAGCATCATCCCAAATCACTCTAGTACAGGCGTTACAGGTTCAGTGAAATACCCTTGTCCAATCAGCGGTGGTTCCTAAGCTGGTTGATGTCCAACTCATAAAACACGACACTTAAGATAATAGTTATCGCCGATGTTAAAGTAGACAAACTAAACATTGCTAATTACCATTTAGTCAAAGAAATGATGGAAACACAAGCAACCTAAACCAGAATAATAATATTTCTGATCATTATGTACACTAACGTCTAAAATATGGACAGCGCTGCAGAACATTTTTATTATTATATTGTGGCTGGTTGTAGCATAAGAAAGTCTTCAGAACAACTGTTGAAAATGTCTTCATAAGAGATAAAAAATAAATACAGTCCAACAATCAAAATGCAATCCAAGTTTTTTTTCTAGAGTATCTATAAAAACGTTCTCTACTTCTATGTTTCATGTTTTATTGTCCTTCAATATTCTCATTATTTAAAAGGGACTTTTTGGACTTTTGAATTTTTATGCGCGCGATTGCCCCCTCAGGCCAAAAGCGTAGCGGCAGCTTCAATAGTAGGCTCGTGTGTGTGGCCTGGAGGACAGAGGACAGGAGAACGCGCAGCTAATTAATTAAATAATTTGGTTCTGTACCTTTCTCTTCAGCACAGCGACAAAGGTTTATGATGGGTCAGTCCTCCTGCATGCTCAGATCATTCCCTTCCCTTGCTTGAAAAATTGTTCCAAAATGAAAGTTGAACCCACATCTTTTTTATCTGTGAATTCAATGCCGTTCGGCGAGTCTCAAATAAAAATTTGGGCATCTCACTGTAAAAAAATATACCGTTAATATAAAAAAGAAACTCTAAATAAACTATGTTCACATCCAGAATAAAACCCAGGTCTTCTGCATGGGAGTCAGACATCTTAAGCCGGGCGGACACTGTGCAACTTTTTCACTTTTTTGAGCCGATTTTCCAGTCGTGCGAGAATCCACGAGATCGGGGCGAGTTTTGCGCCGAGCGTGGTGTAGTGTACGGGGGTTACGAGAGGCGATTAACACCACGTGACCAGCTGCCGATCAGCAATCGTGAGCTCGCACGGACTTCTGGCGTGTTTAATATTTTGCTCGTCCCTCGTGAGGGTATCGCACTGTTGAAGCGGCGCTGTGAGCAGCTGCGACCCAAAATGTATCAGAACCGCTCACGGCGCATGCGCAATCCTGCATCAACACCGCTCCCCGCTATTTCCCTAATAACACACGCTGTTCGTTTTAATTTCTACACTTTTTTTTACTCACAAAGATCATCAAGAAAGCGTGTTTGTCGTGTTCATGTCAAATTAAACTGATCACAAAACACAGATTTACTTTCTTTATTTCGTTTTCCTCATCCAACCCCCATAAATCCCTGTGTGTCCTCCTGCAGCACTCCCGAAGGACAACCGGCAAAACAAGACAAAAAAGTCTAACGTGTTGAGTAAAAACTGCTATTTTTAGCATATTTTTAGGGCCGACGTGTTGCTACCAGACGTACAGTGTGAGCGCCTGGCTCGTGAGATCTGCTCTGCGAGGAAGTCGTACAGTTTGAGCTGAAGCTGAGTGCTACGAGTGAAAAAGTCGCACAGTGTACGCCCGGCTTTACAAGATGAGCTACAGACCAGTAACACAGTATCTGTAACATTTATATCCTTGATGACAGCTGAAACAACGTCAAACCAAAGAACGGTTCGGAGTGAAAATGGCTATTTTGTTGCTAATTAGCAGGAAATATCTAGAAGAAAGTTCTACAGAAGGTAGCTAAGGGTCCTCAGAAATGTAGCTAGCTTTGTCACTAGGCGTTAGGAACAGCGACAAAGTGGCACTGCCTCTCTCTCTGCTGCTAAAGCTACGGATAGCAAATGCTACGGGCGACGCCTGAGCGTGAACGCGCATGAAGCAGCCTGCTCGACCCGAGCATCTCTCTTTTTCTGTGATTTTACAGAAAAACAGGCAATCACAGTAAAAATGCCAGGGCTCATTCTACAGGACCAGGGCATTGCAGGAGAATGTATGAAGAAGACATTTATTATTTCTATACATGTTTTGGCTGTCAGACTTCCATAATGTCCCTTTAAAGTTGAAGTAAATCTCTCCAGACTGACAGCAAAGTGCAAAAGAAAAAGCATAAAAAGTAAAGCAGCTGATTACATATTCCCCTTTTGGTAGCCATAACTCGTTTTCCTTACATGGTTTTTCTGACATCAGCGATATGTCGTCGGAGCCCAAAGCTGTATTTGTAACCGCTGTGAGCTAACGTCCAGATTGTCTTTTGGAAAAGTCACACAGATTGTTTTTGGCTTGATCCCTTCTTCATAGATGGGGTAAAAAATGGTAGTCTGTAATGATGTCAAATGAAGGTCGGATAACTTTTTGCAGCAAGGTTTAGACACGTTAGAGTGTTAGGCTTTTTGATGAAGACCTTTTTTCAAGGCTATGGCAAAAACTAGCATTTAACTAAATGTTTAAGAACGTTTTTCATTGAAAACCTTTGTTACTTGTTATTTTGTGATATAATTGGTCACGCTGAGTTTAACTTGGTCTTCTACCCCTATTTCCTGCATTAGCCGCTGAAAGAAAATAGGGAAATGCTCGGGTCAGAAAAAGCCACACAGATCTACGTCACACTGGAATTTTGCATTTATGGACTCCCCAATCTTGGCTCGTGACAGGGAAAGGCTGTTGTCTCTGAAACAGCAGAGAACGTCTCCGCTAGTAGAAGCAAACTTTAGCATTAGCAACTTCACCTCACGGCAAAACTCCTGTGTAGAGCTGAACGATTAATTGCATATGCAATTAAATTGCGATGTGACAAAGGGAGATTTTCTAATCGCAAAGGCTACAATTTGACTGGCAGTGAGTGGTTAGCACAATGCTAATATACATTGAAAAACCCATAGGGATGCTAATGCTAATATCGCCAATTACATTCTTACTAATTACGAATTAGGAACGTGCCAAATTATTACATTTGGAGTCTAATAAAAAGTAAAAACTGCCATTAGTTAAATAAGTGCATACAGGTATTTTAGTAAAGCTAGAAAACTGTAAGATACTTCAACTACACAGAGTTTTGGCTAGCAGCTATGACCGTAACTGAACTACAGTAGCTCTGTATGGCCAAAACTCTAAACAAAAAAGACTTCAGTAAATGGGACACACTTCTTTCCTTCAAATCAATTTTCACCATTGATGCTAATACCTATGCTCCTTCAAGGGATGTGCTCCTGGCTGCAAAACATTTCACCTTCAAATACAAATGAGAAAAGCCCCTTGAGAAAATAATCGTGAATTAAATCACAATTAGATTATTTTCCTAAATCATTCATCTCTACTCCTGTGTTATTTGTAGAGATAAAACATCAGCGTTGCAGAGCAAATGGAGTCAGTGGTAGAGTCGTGTTGCTGTAAGCCAATCAGAGGCAAGATGTCACCATATCAGGAAATAATAATAAGTAATTCCATCTTTCAGTTCTTTTTAAAACACAGAAAAGGTTTATTTACCTGCAACGTTTCGTTTGCGGCTGCAGACATCTTCAGAGCTGACGCTGATGGTGGCGTCACTTCCTACTCCGTTTATCCGCGGGCAGCAGAGGACGTTGTCGCCCTCTGCTGCCCGCTCTCCCCTCTCCGATGATGCAGTCCCATGTGCGATCCAACGAGTAAACTCCATCGTCCCTGTTCATGGTCCCACATCCACGTCTCCTTATCTCTATAGCTTCCTTTATCCATCTTTTGTATTTCTGTTGTTCGGTGTTTATGATCCTTGTGTTGTCCCAGTCCATTACATGGTTTTCTCTTGTGCAGTGATCTGTTACGGCTGACTTCTTTATTGTGCTTTCTGCTTCTTCTTTTGCTGCTCTTGTGTGTTTTTGACTTGTTTCTTTCTCGCACTCCTTTCTGTGTTCTATTGTTCGTGTGTTGAGTTGGCGTCCGGTTTCTCCTACGTATGTTTTATTGCAGAGTTTGCATGGGATTTTGTAAATGACTCCACATTTAAGTCCAGCTGGTTTATTGTCTTTTGGGTGTAAACTGTTGTGTATGGTTTTGTTGGTGTGTTTATGTTGTGTTTTTTCATTGTTGCTAGCAAGAACACACCAAAGATGATAAGTAAGACTCCAAATCCTGCTGTTTTCTGCCCCACACCCCTCCCACTGACTTCTACATCCTGAAACAGGAGCGCCAAAGTTTTTATCCCCCACAGAGATCGACTTACATTATTTTATACCAGAGACCACTGCAGATTTATTGATAAAATGAGTAAACTTGGTCTTTAATATGTGGGTAAAATGGTTAGAGAAGGTAAGAGAAACGCTCCAGAAGGACAGAACCAAGAGGGGTATCCCTGTGGAAAATATACAGGCATGATCTCCTGTTGAGTCATTCAGCTCTGAATGGAGTGAAATTTAGTGCTTATAAATTTATTCAGAAGAAGTCAAAACTCAAAACTGATCTAAAACTGTTGGATGTTCCTCAGGATATTACCCCTTTGACTGGAGTCCCCGAGGAGCACATCAAAACCCGTAAGGTTCACATTTTTGTTCCTGCCAAAACGGCCATGCAGTCTGGGATCAACAACACTAAAAAGTGGAAGATGGACTTTGACACCAGAGAGCGGTGGGAGAATCCATTGATGGGCTGGGCCTCATCGTAAGAAACGTCTCCTTCCAGGTTCTGCTGGATGAAATGTACTTCATGAGTGATTCCCGTGCATCTGAAAATGTTTTCTGTTTCAGGGCGGATCCTTTATCCAACATGGTGCTTTCGTTCTCCTCTAAAGAAGATGCTATAGCTTTTGCTGAGAAAAATGGTAAGCGGTTTAATTTTCACTTATAAAACCAACATCAAACAACAAGACAGTGTCATACAAACGTGACAGAGATAAGGGCATGAGAAGCATTTTAACTCGCCTCCAAATGTACCGTAATTTCCGGACTATAGAGCGCACCTCAATATAAACAAGCCGCGGCGCAGCAGCCACATGCAGGTCTCCGGCGCACAGCGCATGTTCGGCCATAACATAAGATAATTAGACAGAAAGAGGCCACACGGAAGTTTTTCGTTGTTGTTTTAATTCAACAAAACGAATTTTAAACACGGGTGAACGTGCCTGCAAGTTTAGAAAAGAAAACAGCACTGATAGCATTCATATTTCTGGATGTTATAAAATAAAAACAGCACTGACACGTTATTACCGGTAATTTGCATGTTTAGAAGAAAAGAACAGCGCTGACACAGCATTAATAAGCCCTGGATGATTAGAAAATAACAACTGCACACAAAACATGCCTGGTTAGTAAATAAAACACACTTGCCTACCAGAAGAAGTCATTCGCTCTCATCTTCCTCCTGCGCACTAAAGCCATTAAAGTCCTCTTCTTCAGTGTCGGAGTTGAACAGCCTCAGAAGAGCTTCGTCACGTACCTTTTCTGTGGCGATGTCAGTGTTGCTGTCCGTGTTGCTGTCATCATCCCCGGGTGAAGCTGGCTTGAACGAGTTCTTCCCGCTGCCGTCTCCAGCGCCGAACCATGGATTCATTCATGCCAAGCTTACGTGCGGCAGCACTGTTTCCCTCCTTTACTGCCAGATCGATGGCCTTCAACTTAAATGCGGCATCATATGAACTCATACGTGTAGTTACCATGATGAGGGGGTATGGATTTGAAACAGATTCTTCGTCATGCCGGCTGCTTGCATGTGCTAAATTAAAATTAGCACTTCCTTCGATTTCCACTTTTGACTTCCACCTGTTTCACTTTCTGCTAAAGCGCCCCCTGGTGGCAGGTGAAGGGAAATCTTCAGTAAAGCCGCTCCTCATCATAAGCCGCATGGTTCAAAGCGTGGGGAAAAAGTAGCGGCTTATAGTCCGGAGAATACGGTAATGTGGAAATTCATTCGAAGTCCAACACGAAGGGCTTACCCATTGGCTTTTCTTCATTTAGTTAAGCAAGTTAAAGGAAATTCTCCACATATCAAACATGCAGTTGCTGCACATTACTTGTCTAGCTAAAACCAAATGAAAGAAAATGTGTTTTTCAGCTTTGATGCTGTTTTAGGGACATGGGTCTTGTTTGTGTCTATCAGGTTTGAACTAAAGCCTAATTAAAACCATTTTTACCAAATCAGGACCTGAAAACAAGGCAGGCTTTTGTTTTCTTTTGGTTGGACAATTTTTGGCCAATGTGTATGAGATTAACTCATACTTGGCTTAAATGATGCTTTAGTTATCCGTAAAATTCAGATAGTTAGAATTTAACTTACCAAACCTTTACAGAAATCTTAAATTCTTTCTCTACTGCCACACGACTTAGTTTGTTATCTATAGGAGTTCTGGGAGCAGGGAATGCCAGCCATACAAGATGGTCCTTCTTCAGGGCTTTTCTAAGATGTCAGCACATTGCGACCGTTTGGCTGAAGATTGACGTCCCTTATTGGCACCAAAAAGCGACCATGCATTTTGGGACATTTTAGATGTTCTATTCTGTCAACGTACTCTGTAACCTAATCCGTTCATGGGGACAGCGGCCGTGTGACATCAAAAACAGCATTCAGAAACCAGAAGAGGCACATTTTTAACAGCACTATAGTGAAAACCACAAAGCAGCATAAATGATGGAGTTGACGGTTCGTTTCTGTCATGGTTGTTTTGGTTTTGAGAGTTCAGAAACAGTGACTCTTTTCCTTCCATTCCGCTTTACCAGTAGTGACTAGGGATGCACCGATACGATACTGGTATCGGCACCGATACCGAGACCAGTATCGTATCGGTAAAAGTTAACCGATACCAGGAACCGATACCAATGCAGTTGTTTGAAAATGGCTTCACTGTAACTTGTCATTTCTGTTCACCTAATATTTTAGTTTTGTGATGATTTCTATTCATATATTTTACTTTTTATCTACCTCACAGTCTTTTCCTGTTGAAAGCAGAGAAGAAAATAAAATCTGTATTCCAAATCATTGCATTTTTTGTGTGGTAGAAGTATCGGTATCGGTAATTGGTATCGGCAAGTACTCCGATCCAAGTATCGGTATCGTATCGGTTTGAAAAAAAGTGGTATCGTTGCATCCCCAGTAGTGACAGAGAAGTTAAGTGCCTGCTTGGTAACTGAAGGGTTGCAGGTTTGAGCCCCAGTCGGTCTGTCACAGTCGTGTCCTTGAGCAAGACCATCCACCCACCTTGCCTGCTGGTTGGTGCTCAGCAGCTTCTGTCAGTGAGCCCCAGGGCAGCTGTGGCTATGGATGTAAATTTTTTTGGGGGGGGGGGTCCCCCCCACACACCTTTTCCAAAGTCAAGTTTTGACCCCTGCACTCTTTACCGTCCAAAAACAATATTACTTTATATTAAATTGACACTGGTTGAGCTCTAGGACCAAGCGGAAAACATCAAACCCCCCCCCGTGTCCCCTGCATTTCTAAAGTGAAAATTACGTCCATCGCTGTGGCTATGTAGTAGCTCATCACCACCAACCTGTGAATGTGCGTGTGCATGGGTAAAAGCACCTTGGGGGGTTGTAGAACCCTAGAAGGCACCATTTCAAATGTAGGCCATTTTTACCAGCAACTCTTCCAGTTTGTGGCGTTTGCCAGTAAAATTCCCCTTTCGACGTTCCCTACCTTAGCGCTGGTTCTTCATAGAATGTAAATGCTTTTTTAAAAAATGAAAACTTTCTCTTCCTCTTTTCAGATTTGTTGAAATGAGCATTTCCATATTTTTCATGTTGCTGCGGCTGTTTTTGTCATCCGTTAGTTTTTGTCGAATGGCGTCGGTTACATTTATTTTGTTATCACTCCATATGGAAAAACCAGAGTTGTGTTTTATAGAAACCTGAGCAGACTGCTTTTTATTGGACTTAGCAGCACATAAATCTACCGAAACAAAACAAAATCCTGTGCATACAAGTGAGCATATTATGGGATCTTTAATGTTCAGTTGATTTAACCTTTCAAACCCAGAGTCTGTCGTCATGGAGGAGAGACGGTAGGAACATCTAGAAAACACCGTGGAGGCCTCAGAGCGATTAAAGCACGGGGAGAATCGTTTTGAAGGCCTAACAGACAAGTGAATGCAGACCGGTTGCAGTTAATCATGAGTGATGTGTTTCCCGTCTCGCAGCAGTCAAGTTCACTTTGACTCACCGAACCGAACCATCTGGGAAAGTTTGTTGAAACTAAGCGAAGGAAAGTGGCTTTTTTCTGTTTATTGCACCAGGAAAATGATTAGAGACCATCTGACCACACACAGCCTGGTGATGTCCACTGAACACCTCATTGTTGCTGGAGCTCATCCAGAGAGAACAAACGGGGCGTTCTCATCGCCATCACTCACTCCGATGTTTGTCCTTCAGGTTGGAGCTACGAAGTCACGGAGAAGAGGTCATCAAAGCCCCGAGTGAAATCCTACGGGGCAAACTTCTCTTGGGATAAGAGAACCAGGAGGTCCGCAAAGTAAACCCAAGAGCCATCAGTTTGCTGCTTTGACCTTTGTGTGTGTCCCACAGCAGACTTGTGTCATTCTTGTCAATAAATTCTTCGTTATATGCATGAAAACCAAACATGTGGGTCATTATTGCATTTGCTTTTCAAACAAGTCACCTCATCAATGTAGTCCCATCGATTAATGGCGTGTTTGTTCTCCCGGGTAAGTTGTGCAACAGCGAAACAAAGGAGGAACGTGTTATTACAATAAAAACCTGTTTAAACAAAGAGATGAATATATCCGCAACACAAAGCCAGCGACTTTGTTTCCGTACGAGGGTTTTCACCCAAATAGTTTCAGTGTTTGGAGCGCTGCAGAACGTTGAATGGTTCTTTTACAGCATCTGTGTGACGAGGTTACCCTGACTCATGCATGATCTCCAAAGTCACCATTAGCCCCAAAATTTGATTTCTTTGATGCTTTTTTATGTGGAGGAACCACGTAAACTGGAGCTGTTGAGTAATGTCAGTGCTATTTGTGATTATTTAAATAAGAAAATTCATGTCTGAGTCATGTTTGAGATGTAAAGTGTAAAAAATGGGTTTTCTGACACTCATCTGGCAAACTGGAGAGCCAAACCCTGAAATTATTCAGTTTACAATAACGTGCAGAAAAGATAAACAACTGAAGCTTTTTGTAGTTTTATAGTAAAACAACTGAAGTTTCTCATAAAAGCTTTTATAGTTGTGTCTCAGTGTAGAAAAATAAACACTTAAAACGTTGAAGAAAATGTTTGATCAGTCCATTTGAAATGAGGTAAGCAGCTGGAGAAGAGTATTTGCACCCCGCAAACAGATTTCTGGTTTTGCTTTTTTATTTTTTTGTCACACAAAAGGTTTCAGAACAGAAACAGGTTTCAGGTCAAGATGTGAGCTAATACAGAACGATGGTTTCATTTCTTTAGGGGCAAACATGTCCAAACCAGCTCCCGTGTTAACTGTGGAAAACTTTTTATGATTATTTCTGATTATATTCAGTCACTCCGAGTTTTTCATGCAGGCTGAACATGAAAATAGTCTCCTACACCTATCTCCTGCATTAGCTTCTGATAGAAAACAGACGGTGAAACTCTAGGATGTGAAAAACCTGACAGATCTACGAGACACACCATGCCGGCAAATCGGCGTAATATTACCGGAATGGTATGTCTATAAACGCGCCATGCCGGCATGGTGTTGCGCGAATTTCCGCTTGGTAGTAATGGTCCGTCGTATGCGCCCTGGCGAAACAGAGGCAGATGTCATGATGACGTGGGGAGTGATTGCTGAGCTCCGGCTGGCAAATGTATTGAAAATGAAAGTAAACACGGGCGATAAGGTTTGCTTTTTGAACAAAATCAGCTGAGATGGCAAACTGGAGCATCGCAGAGCTCCACGAGCCTCTCTGTTAGAGCTGAAGCTCGGATCACCAGAGACTGCACAGGGACCGATGGGGACAGACGCCTTTAGGAGCTGCTTGTTAAAAAAAACTTAACGATCACGGCTTCAATCGCAATAAAAAGCAAGTTATGTCCAAGATAAACGGAAGTCTGCGGCAGCGCAGAGACCGCCCCATCCCCCCTTTATGCCGCCATCACCTAATCGTTTGTAAAATTGCCACGACTGCACCACATTACCGCCACGGTCTGATCTTGTAAACGACCTTTATCCTCTCCAGGGAGCCGCGGCGAATCCCGTTCAGCAAACGCTCTGGTCCTGTAAGAGCAGCTACAGTCACCTAACATTCATGGACTCGCCCATCTTGACTCACGATAGAGAAGGCTGTTGTTTTAGCGTCTAGGAAGCAGCAGAACATCTTGGCTAGTAGAAGCTAACTGTTAGCATTAGCAACTCCACCATGAGGCAGAACTCCTTCAACTTATGTTATTTGTGGAGACAAAACATCAGCATAGCAAGTCAGTGGTAGAGTCGTGTTGCTGTTATCCAGGTTATATCCTGGTTCCATTAATTACAGCAAGTGGTCCATAAGCAGCAGAGCAACCCCAGACCATCACACTACCACCACCATGTTTGACTGATGTATAGCGCCTCTCAGAGTAAGGACTCCAAAGCGCTTTACACTACAGTGTATCATTCATCCATTCACACACACATTGATGGTGATGAGCTACGATGTAGCCACAGCTGACCTGGGGCGCACTGACTATCGGAGGTGAGGCTGCCCTACACAGGTGCCACCGGTCCCTCCGACCCCCACCAGCAGGCAAGGTGGGTCAAGTGTCTTGCTCAAGGACACAACAGTAGAGTTCTCAGTCCAGAGCCAGGATCGAACCTGCAACCTTATGATTACTGGACAACCCGCTCAACCTGTTGATCTACTGCTGCCCCTGTTGGCTTGATGTTTAAGTTGAACTCCAAATATAACGTAGCACACACTTTCCAAAATCCTCGGTAATGTCGAGATGTTTTTAGGTAAATGTAGCACAATGTCCAACTTTCAACATTCAGTATATGGCCTTTCCTCATTTTTAAATTATGAACTCTAACCTTTAGCAAGTGAGGCCTACAGCGCCGTAGACATTGCTCTTGCTTACTTTGATCCTAAAGGGCTGAGAAACTATAGGACCTGTTCATAAATGATCGGTGACTCTTGAGTTACGCACGCACGCTGAATGTGAACATTTCTGTAACCCTGATTGCCTTCGTTAGCAGCAGAAAGGAAAATACGTGGGAAACGTTCTGGTCACAAGAAAGCACGTCTCTTTTATGTCACAGGGAGAATCGGCGTTCGTGGACTCTTCGACCTTGGCTTGCGACCGTGGAAGGCTGCGGGCAGGAGAGCGCGCGCGTCCAGGCTAGTGGAAGCTCTCTCTCGATAAACTTCTGCCCCTGAAATGGGAGCAGGAGTCTGAAGGCACACAAGTCATTCACTCGTACTAAAAACTGCAGCAGATTTATTGAAATAATGAGTGAATTAGACCTCAATGAGGAGAGGGTGAAACCTTTCCTCCGCTTATCCGGGGTGGGTCACGGAGGCCCAGACGTCCCTCTCCCCGACCAGCTCCTCCTGGGGGAATCCTTAGCTGTTTCCAGGCCAGTCGAGTACCATAGTCCCTCCAGCGTGTCCTGGAGTCTTCATCTGGGTGTCCTCCTGGATGGATGCGCCCAGAAACCCTCGCCAGTGAGGCGTCCTAACCAGATGCCCGAGCCACCTCAACTGACTCCAAAGAAATCTGTAAGGGGGCAAATATGTTTGCACACACACTTATTCCCATCAGTACTTGAAAGGTTGCTTCTTTATTTTAGTTGTTTGCCTAGAAACCACATTTTCTCTATCCTATAAAACAGCTGAGGCAACGCTGCAGTCTTTGGAAAAGCTGTAAATGTTTCGAGATGCCCAGCTATGCACGCTTGGCACGGCCCTGGCTGTTTACGCTCTTTGTGCTCAGTAAACATTAGTGTAACTTTGCGTACAGACCTGAACTGCGTGGCTGCACTGACATTCACTCACCAATCATGGGAGCCTAATTGGTTCAGACCTTCGTTAATTAACGCACTGCGTTGCAAATCTCTCACAGCCTTGCGCTCGCTATTGATTCTGTGCCGCCACTCGGCACATCAGACGCGCCGATCTGATATGAGCGTAATGGCCCGTCGTGAATGACGGCAAGTGTTTCTTTGCCCCTTTGAAAACCCCATCAGAGAAGCAGCGGGGGAAAGAAAAAAACACTCTTGGCACAACGTTGTATCGTAAAAGTTGAAAGCATTCCTCCCGTCTTGGCCTATAAGCACGGTGAATTATGTGAAATGAGAATGGCAGCGCAGTGGCATTGTCCAGAACCATCATTACAAAACAAACATCAGCAATAAACCGGCTCTGATCTGTCCGGCTGTAAACATCAACACAGTGTTGAGTAGTGCACCCCGTCCAGACACTTCAGTCGCCATGGAAACACCACTGACGCAGAAAGAAAAATGCTTAGAGGTGCCTAGTGGTCCTCGTCCGTGCTTCTAATCCAATCCGTCCCTCTAAACCTGTAAAAACAAATGTCGGAACGTCGGTGGTGCATCACAGCAGAAACTTTTAACGGCTTCTTTCCAGAATCAATGTCAGTGTTACTTTGGAAAATCCACTTACATCACCGTGTGCAGTTGTTTACCTCCCACTAAGATCTAATGAGAGCCTGTTGTGCTCCTTCTGCAGAGGAGCAGCGGTGTCGGAGCACATGTGCAAGGGCCGACGCAACACGTGATCCTACGTGGGATCTCACGTACAGCACGAACAAACCCGTCGCTCTCTCATCTGTTGTTGCCTTCCTTTTACATTTATTTTTGCTGTTTTCTTCCAAATGAACCGGCTCTGTGAGGGGAGAAATGACAAACTAGTCAACATGGAATGGGAGGCTGGATTTAGTGGAGTCTTCTTCAAACGTGACTGATGGTTTTAATACTGCGGCTGCTCTCTTTACTGGAAGTACTGGCTTTGCTCCCCATTCTGGGCACAAAAGGCCCCGTTTAATATGACAAATATTCAGTGTCATGTGGTTAAAGCGGCTCTCGTTTTTATTTAAATGCAAGCAGAAGTAGCTGGGCAGCTAAGCAGCGCCTCTAAACGAGATGAGACTGGTAATTAGATGCTGTGCAGCAGTTTTAATATATTTAACACAGAAATTTCATTTACACTTAGCAGGTTTGGAGAATAATTCCCAACCGATTTGTGCAACAGCTACAGTGTGGCACCTGCTCATTACGACTGTTTTATTGTGTCTTAAAGCATCAGTCCTTTTATGGGTTAAGTAATAATTGGCTGCAACAGCTGGATCATACAATAAAATGTTGCACAGTGATGGTGCAACACACCCGTCGTGCTTCTAGGGAAAGTTAACTTCTTGGTTTGTTTTTTAGCGCACGAAGAGCCAGAGAAAACGCAAATCCTCTTCTGTAGGAATTCAGTCTTCATCCATCATGAAGTGTTTTTATTTACTTTTACAAATGAGACTTTCACCTCCTGTCGTAAGAAACCAAAAACACTCCTCCACTCCGCTGGAACGAGTTCAGAGCGTGATCAAGTCCAGCATCCTGTTTCGCCTCAGCAGCTGGACAGAGGAGCCGGTGTCAGAGTTTTAGTTTGAAACCG